TTTTTTAATCATATAAAAAAAATGTTAAAAAAATTTTTAAATAAATTTTTCTATATATAAATAAAAATAAATTACATAAAAATTATTGCAAATTTTCTTTTAAATGCCTTTGAATAATGATTCAAAATTTTGGTTTTTAATTTTAAAATTAAAATGAAATATATTCAAAACAACTTCATTTTTTGAACAAATTTTTATTTTATCATTTTGGTCAAGAATGCAACTCTTTTTTCGAAATCCAAAAAAACACATTTTATTCTAAGATAAAAAAAATTAAAATAGTTTCATTTAATTTTTTTAAAAAAGTTTCAAAAGTTTTTTTTTATTTTTTCAAATTTGATCTTTAAATTTTTGTGAATTAAATAAGTAATTATAAAATATCTAAATGAATAAAATTTATTATATTAAAAATATTCAAAAATTTTATTTCAAATCTTCAAAAAATTTTTTCAAACTTTTTAATTATTTAAAAGATCGAATGAATTAAAAAAGAAAAAACTTGTAAAGATTTTTTGATCATAAAAGATCATTTGGTTAAATATAAAAAATTTGATTTTAAATATATAATATTAAAATTCTATATTTATAAAATTTAAAAATCATGATTTTAAATATAACAAAAATACTATCAAAGGTTTGAAACGAAATTTAAATCTAATAATGAACAAAGATAAACTATTCTAGTTTTTTCAAAAATATATTATAAATAAAAAATAATTTGATTTTCTGATATTTTTTAAAATTTTTTAGGATAAAATTTTTTTTAATTTGTATTAAAAAGAATATAAGCAGTAGAAAATAAAATAAAAAAAAAAACATATATATATGAAAATATGTTTAAAAACAAATTGCCTATATATATATTTATATAATATTAATATATAAATATATATGAAATATATATAAAATACAGTTTAAAAAATATAATATATTTAAATTGATTATAATATAAAAAAACTTGAAAAATATCAATTTATAAATATATTTTAATATTTTCCTTATAAAATATTTATATATACATTTATATATATATTTTTTTATTTAATATTTTATGTTTTCTGATATTTATATAGTCTGAAATATTTTATTTATAAAAATTAAATGTTTTTAAATATTTATTTTTTATTCAATTTCAAAAATCATATATTTTAATAAATTAAAATTAAACATTTATTATATTATGTATATTTCTTTTAAATTCTTTCCATATTGCAAAAAATATTCACAAAATGAAATTTTTTGGCAAAAATTAAATATATTTATTTGTTTTTTATTTTTGAATTTATTGTTAAGAATTTTTTTTGTGTCCCATCTATTTTATGTTTATCTAAATGATATATTTTTTATATTTTTTTCTTAAAACCCATTTTTTAAAATTGTTTTTCACAAATTATATTTGAAATATTTTCTTTCCACAAAAAAAAACCTATGGAATTTTTGTGTTTGAAAGTTTTTTAATTTAACAATTTTCTGATTTTTATATATTCATTATATATTTCAAATATTTGATTTGTTTTTTTTGTGTGTTTAAATATATGTGTATATTTCATTATTTTTTATATATTATTTTTGTATGATTTATTTATATATATTGTTAAATGTATTTATATATAAATATATCAATAATATTTTTTTATATATTTCCATATATATATATATGTATATAATATTTATATTTCAATTTTTTATATCATTATACGTAAAATTTATATATATATTTATATATTTTTATATATATATAAAATTCATATATTTATATATATATATTGTGTATATATATATATATATATATATGATTATATATATATAAATATATTTAATACTATTTTCAAATGTTACAACTTATTTTATAAGATGGGTCAAATATTATTTATTTATATAATATATAACTTATTTATTTTCTATAAATAAATAAAAGAAAAAATATATATGTATATATATAAACAGATATATTTATATATATTTAGAGAAATAAAAATGACTATATTTTGTATATATATAAATATATTAATTATAAATAATGAAATGAATATTACAATATTTTTGTTATATATTAAACGTATTATTTTAGAAATTAAATGGAATGCAGATTCTCATTTAGATGCAAATTTAATGAAAATTTATTGTTATATATTTTAATTTTTCATGTTATCATAAATTTTAAAATTTTAAAAATTCAAAAATAAGTCAAAATATTTTTACATCTATATTATATATATAATATATAGTTTGTAAATATATATTTTTATATATAAATATACAAAAAATGTCTTTACATTGACTATATATATATATATATTCTTCGTTTAAAAATGAAAAAATATAAAAATTAAAATCTCAACTCATATATATGTAATTTTATTCAGTCGAATTTATGTAATAAAAAAATGCATGAAATATGATGAATAAAATATAAACAATAAAATATCTTTAGAAAAGATGTTTATTTAATTCAATATATAAATATGTCTGATTTATTTATCTATAATTATGTACATCAAGTTCTATCTTGTAAAAATATTATGTGTATGTTTATATATTTAAAAATGAAATATATATGTATGTATATATATATGTATATATAGCCTTATTCTTAATATATATATATTGTTATATATATTTGAATAAATGTATTATATATATATATATATATATATAAATAATATATATATATATAAAATTCAATATATTTGAATATATATATTAATTTATATATATATATATTTGTATATAAATTTACACACAAATATGTATATATATATTTTATAATTTATGTATAACTTACTTATATATATATAAATATATGTCGAACTCTATATATGTCATGCATATATGGTTCTATGTGATATGTATATATATATATATATGTACATATATATATATAAATAGCCTATATATAAATATGATTTATATAGATATATGAAAAGTACTATATATAATGCAAATATAATAAAATATCTATGTTATATATGTAAAAAGCTATATAAAACTATAAAAATATATATATACATATATATATATATTAGATATATGTATATATATATATATATATACATGTATGGCTATATGTGTCTATATATATATATATATATATGGTATATTATATTATATATATATATATATAGATAATCTGTGTATACATGTATATATATATACATGCTATATGTATATATATATATGTATACATGAATGTATATGCTATCATATATTTATACATTTATGTATATATATACCTGTATGTATGTGTGTAAATATATATATATGTGTATATGTATTTATACCTGTATGTGTGCATAAATATATACATGTATATATGTGTGCATGTATTTAGGCTCTCTGTATGTGTGTGTATATAGTTATGTATGTATTGAAGGGTGTATATTTATATATATATATATATATATATATGTATGTGTATATGTATGTCTGTATGCGTATATGCATGTGCATATATATAATATGTGTATGTATGTCTGTATGCGTATATGCATGTGCATATATATAATATGTGTATATATGAATGTATGCATGTATGTGTACATATATATGTATACATTTATGTATATATGTATATGTATGTGTACATATATATATATATATATATTTATATTTATGTAAATATATATATATGTATATATACATATATGTATGTATGTTGTATATATATATATATATATATATATATATATATATATATATATATATATATATATACACCTGTATGTATGTGAACATATGTATTCATAGCTGTATGTACGTATACATATACCTGTGGCTCTGTGCATACATAAATGTTTGTATGTGTGTGTATGTATATATTTATATGTATTTAAATATATGTATATTGAAAGTAAATCTACAATTTATTTTTAATGGAATATTTTCCTAGTGGCATATAAGGTAAAACGTTGGTGTAAAGGATTTATATATGCAATGCATGTACTTACTGCCTCAACTTTTATAGGATAAATAGTTTTTTATTAATATATTAGTACCGACATTTTTTTAAAGATGTGTAAGTCCTTAAAGTAACCGCTACTAAGTCTTTTACGTCAAGAAAGCTCTTGAGAATCGAGCAAGGAAAGATGAAAATGTAGTCGATTTATTTCTTTCCTCTTCCATTCCCTTTGAAGACGATGCATGTAAGAAAAACAACAGAAAATAAGTAAATATCAAAGACAGAGGAATTCTGAATTTTTGTTGCTCGCCTTTCAGTCTTATTAAGACATATTATATCTCCCAAATAACAATGAGAAGACATATTAATATATATATATATATATTTTCCTATATATATATATATCTAATGTCTTTTATATATATATATATATAACATATATATATATATCCCCATTATCTTCTATATATATAAATATATATAAGTATATATATATATATATATATATATATATATATATATATATATATGTCATCTTTAAAGTCATATAAATATATATATATATATATATATATATATATATATATATAATATATATATATATATATATATATATCTAATATATATATATATATATATTTATTTTTATTTATTTTTAACCATATCCTTATAGGAAATCAATATATCATATGTTTTTCCCATATTTTATATATTTTATTTGTACGAAAATTGCCATCAATTCATACAATTTAACTTTTTTTACCATTGCTTGTAATGTATGGAATTCGAAATCGTCTCGTTGCCAATCATGGCTAGGTAGTACAATACGCTCTGTTATTTAACCCATAGATGTGGGGAAGAAATGGATTAATGTATTTCCCATTAGTACATGTGCGAAAGTGTATGTTATGAACTTGACTGGAATTTGAATTCGTCTGTTTGTCAACTCCGGCTAGGAATCCTGTTACTTTTCTGTCTGTCTGCATTTGATCTCGTCTCTTATGCTTTCTGTCTTTCTGCATTTGATCCCGTCTCGTATGCTTTCTGTCTGCCTGAATTTGATCCCGTTTCTCTTCTCTCTCTGCATTTGATCTCGTCTCTTATGCTTTCTGTCTGTCTGCGTTTGAACTCGTCTGTTATGCTTTCTGTCTGTCTGCATTTGATCCCGTCTCTTATTCTTTCTGTCTGTCTGCATTTGATCTCGGTTGTCATGCTTTCTGGCGTTCTGAATTTCATCCAGACTCTTATGATTTCTGTCTGTCTTCATTTGATCCCGTCTCTTATCCTTTCTGTCTATTTGCATTTGATCCCGTCTCTTATTCTTTCTGTCTGTCTGCATTTGATCTCGTATCTCATGCTTTCTCTCTATTTGCATTTGATCCCGTCTCTTATGCTTTCTGTCTATTTGCATTTGATCCCGTCTCTTATTCTTTCTGTCTGTCTGCATTTGATCTCGTCTCTTACCCTTTCTGTCTGTCTGCGTTTGATCCCGTCTCGTATGCTTTCTGTCTGTCTGCATTTGATCCCGTATCTTTTCTGTCTCTGCATTTGATCTCGTCTCTTATGCATTCTGTTATGCTTTCTGTCTGTCTGCGTTTGAACTCGTCTGTTAAGCTTTCTGTCTGTCTGTCTGTCTGTCTGTCTGTCTGTCTGCATTTGATCTCGTCTCTTATGCTTTCTGCCTGTCTGCATTTGATCACGTCTCTTATTGTTTCTGTCTGTCTGCATTTGATCCCGTCTCTTATTCTTTCTGTCTGACTGCATTTTTTTTTCGTTTCATGCTTCCTGGCTTTCTGAATTTGATCCGGTCTCTTATGCTTTCTGTCTGTTTTCATTTGATCCCGTCTCGTATGCTTTCTGTCTGTCTGCATTAGATCCCGTTTTTTTTTCTCTGTCTGTCTGCATTTGATCTCGTCTCTCATGCTTTCTGGCTTTCTGAATTTGATCCCGTCTCTTATTCTTTCTGTCTGTCTGCATTTGGTCGCGTTTCTTTTCTGTCTCTGCATTTGATCTCGTCTCTTATGCTTTCTGTCTGTCTGCGTTTGAACCCGTCTGTTATGCTTTCTGTCTGTCTGTCTGCATTTGATCTCGTCTCTTATGCTTTCTGTCTGTATGCATTTGATCCCGACTCTTATGCTTTCTGTCTATTTGCATTTGATCCAGTCTCTTTTTCTTTCTGTCTGTCTGTATTTGATCCCGTCTCTTATTCTTTCTGTCTGTCTGCATTTGATCTCGTCTCATTCTTCCTGGCTTTCTGAATTTGATCCGGTCTCTTATGCTTTCTGTCTGTCTTCATTTGATCCCGTCTTGTATGATTTCTGTTTGTCTGCTTTTGATCCGTTTTTTTTCTGTCTGTCAGCATTAGATCCCGTCTCTTATTCTTTCTGTCTGCATTTGATCTCGTCTCATGCTTTCTGGCTATCTGTATTTGATCCCGTCTCTTATTCTTTCTGTCTGTCTTCATTTGATCCCGTCTCTTATGCTTTCTGTCTATTTGCTTTTGATCTCGTATCTCATGCTTTCTGGCTTTGTGCATTTCATCCCGTCTCTTATGCTTTCTGAATTTGATCCCGTCTTTTATGCTTTCTGTCTATTTGCATTTGATCTCGTCTCTTATGCTTTCTGTCTATTTGCATTTGATCCCGTTTCTTATTCTTTCTGTTTGTCTGCATTTGATCTCGTATGACATGCTGTCTGTCTATTTGCACTTGATCCGGTCTCTTATTCTTTCTGTCTGTCTGCATTTGATCCCGTTTCTTTTCTGTCTCTGCGTTTGATCCCGTCTCGTATGCTGTCTGTCTGTCTACATTTGATCCCGTTTCTTTTCTGTCTCTGCATTTGATCTCGTCTCTTATGCTTTCTGTCTGTCTGCGTTTGAAATTGTCTGTTATGCTTTCTGTCTGTCTGTGTGCATTTGATCTCCTCTCTTATGCTTTCTGTCTGTCTGCGTTTGAACCCGTCTGTTATGGTTTCTGTCTCTCTGTCTGCATTTGATCTCGTCTCTTATGTTTTCTGTCTGTCTGCATTTGATCCCGACTCTTATAATTTCTGTCTGTCTGCATTTGATCAAGTCTCTTATAATTTCTGTCTGTCTGCATTTGATCCAGTCTCTTATTCTTTCTGTCTGTCTGCATTTGATCTCGTCTTGTATGCTTTCTGTTTGTCTGCATTTGATCCCGTTTTTTTTCTGTCTGTCAGCATTAGATCCCGTCTCTTATTCTTTCTGTCTGCATTTGATCTCGTCTCTCATGCTTTCTGGCTTTCTGAATTTGATCCGGTCTCTCATGATTTCTGTCTCTCATTTGATCCCGTCTCTTATGCTTTCTGTCTGTCTGCATTTGATCCCGTCTCTTATGCTTTCTGTCTATTTGCTTTTGATCTCGTCTCTCATGCTTTCTGGCTTTCTGAATTTGATCCCGTCTCTTATTTTTTCTGTATTTGTTCCGGTTTCGTATTCTTTTTGTCTGTCTGCATTTAGTCCCGTCCCTTATTCTTTCATTCTGTTTGTCTGCATTTCATCCAGTCTTCCATACTTTTCTTTTACTTTATTTTGTCCCGTCCTTTATTCTTTCTGTCTGTCTACATTTGGTCCCATCTTTAATGCTTTCAATCTGTCTGCATTTGATCTCGTCTCTTTTCTGTCTGTTTTTCTGCATTTGATCCCGTCTCTTATTCTTTCTGTATTTATTCCCGACTCATATTCTTTTTGTTTGTCTGCATTTCGTCCCGTCTTTTACTCTTTGTGTCTGTCTTCATTTGATCCCGTCTTTTATTCTTTCCGTCTGCATTTGGTACCGTTCCTTATTTTTTCTGTCTGTCTGCATTTCGTCCAGTCTTTAATAATTTCTGTCTTCTTTTGTTCCCGTCTCTTATCCCGTCTCTCTGCATTTCGTCCCGTCTTTTATTCTTTTTGCCAGTCTGCTTTTGTCATATTCCCGCTTCTTTGTTGTATCTAGTTCCCCTCATAAGCATACGGTAGCGAGTATCTATCTTTCCATGAGCCAAATGAAACCAAAAATGGTCGAACGGAATGCGTTATCCGGGTTGTGTTGCTTTGTTATATTTCAGACCGTCTACGCTGCCTTTTGGGTGATGCTTTATCGTGCATTTTACAACCACTTTTCCAGAAACTCTATCACTATTTCCCTTACATATTTTCAGCCGTGCTATATTCATCAGTTCCTCCATTACAGGCGTTCTCATCTAGTATCCGCCATGTCAAGTTACACTGAGACAAATCATCCCTATTCATTTTTATTTATAAGTAGAAAGTCTTATTCAGTCAGCTTTTCCCGAGAACTACTATTTTCTTGAACAGACAACAAAGATGATGCTTTCCAGATCTCTATAATCTGAAACCTTTTAAGGGTCAGCCGGTATCTATCCTACATATCCCCATAATCTGAACTTCTTACCTCTTCTACTTCCATTCCCACAATGACAACTTTTCTGATGCCTGTTTGTAGGAGAGACTTTGTAAATCACAGATACAATAATTATAATGCTTTCGGACAATACTCCATAATATATATATATATATATATATATATATATATATATATATATATATATATATGTTGTTGGATCCCGCGTGAAAAATAGGTATCCAATAAATGACAAACGCAAGTATTTAAGCTAAGAAATTAAATGTATTTACACAAAATACAAAAAGGTAATGCTGTTAGTAAAATCCAGGAACACGGTTAGTAGAAAATACAGATAGATATATACAGTCTCAAAGTAGGACTTCCTTAGTGTCTACGTGCTTGTAACTGACTTCTACAAGAGGTTACTTCACTCCATCCGACTACCGACACTCACAGACGACTCCGGTACGACTCATCTTCTCTGCCTGACTGTGGCAGCAGGACGAGTCCATTATATCCGAAAAGGGTGGACCCCATTATATATATATATATATATATATATATATATATATATATATATATATATATATATATATATATATATATATATATATATATATATATATATATATATATATATATATATTATATTCGTTTCGTTGGGCACCTCGAGGTGGTGTAATGCTTAGCAAGCTTGTCTCGCTAGAACAATTACGACTGAGTAGTAAGTTCGATCCTCACTGGGTGCCACATACTTTCGGCCTTGTGCCACATCTAAGCTACGCTTGGAAAATCACCAGGCATCTCGAGATGGTGTAATGTTTAGCAAGCTTGTCTCGCTAGAACAATTACAACTGAGTAGTGAGTTCGTTCCTCACCGGGTGCCCCTTACTTTCGGCCTTGTGCCACGTCCAAGCTACGCTTGGAAAATCACTATATATCTTTCCGTTACCCGTCTCGTGATCTAATTATTTCAAGATGATGTCGACTGTGCTTGCTCTCTGGCGATCCGTGTTCAAACCTAAGTGTCGGCAGCGACACTTTATTCCTATATGACAACATTTAGTATGCCTCTGACTTGAGTGAATTTTTGTCTTCGTATTGGATGAACGATAATAAAAAAAAAAGCATCGGCCATACAACATCCTTTTTAATCATTTCACCCCAAACAAGGCAATAAAGCCACTAAGACGGAATCGGGTGTGTGGAAGTACTGAGTGTGAAAGAATATGAGAAAAAGATATTATTATTAATGAGAGAGAACAATAAAAGTCCAAGAATTAAGAAGCCAGAAGATAGCGATGTAAATCTTTGAAGATCAAAGTTGATTGGAAAGCAAGAAGCCGGAAGAGAGTTCCACAAGCGAGAAGTGCAAGAAAAGAGACTATTAGCATAGAACTTACGGTTACATGTAACCATTTCACCTGTAAAAAATGATGATATATTTTGATCTGAATAGTTTTTGTTTTATTTCTGAAGCTGTCAATAAGTTTAATAGAGTGCTTATTGAACAATCTTTAATATTGCTTAGATGATTAGACACATAACCCACTGGTTATAGTAGGGGAAACATTTTGTTCTTCAAGGCAGTTTAAAGAGTAAGGAGATCCACTTGTCATTAATCATTTCCAGTATCATGTAACAAGTAACACTGGGTTATATGATACAAGCAGAAGAAAATAATCTTTAACTAATCCTTCTACCAGACAGTGTAGTGTGCCATCATCAAGATACTTGGAAATGGGACAAATTTCAGGGAAAAGTGAGGTTGGGTATTAATGTAAAATGACTGAAATTAACCTCAGCTACAATTTTAACTAAATTCTCAAATTTTATTTTCCATCTTTATAACATTCGTCAGAGTTAGGAGTTGCAAAGCCCAATTGGGAACAATTTTGGTAGGCTCAGGTTTGTGTGTACTTGATCAGGTGAGAGTAAAATATTCTAACACAGAGTTCCCTTAGGTGCAGGACCAAGCTTGAAGCAATTGCTCCAATTAGCCCAAGGCTGGTTCTGCCTTGCCGCCAATTTTAATGCCTCCAAACTATTCTCTTTTAATCGTCTGCGAGAACCTTTTTTGTCCGCCATCAGTATGGCAGATGCTAACTTTCAGTATACTGACTCCTTACACCCTCTGCGGATAAAGTTTTCTGCTAACATGAAGAGAAAAGATTATATTGACAATGCTTCGTTTCATAAAGCTTTTCCTTTGCTAAGTAATTACCAAATAGAAGGTCCAAGAGCCACACAAGGTAGAGCGGTACTGAATGAGGATGCCATCGTTTGTCAGCTCGGGATATATGCTGATGAAACAATATTTACTCTTGTCTTCATTGTAAGTTTGATCGGTTCGATAACGTTAAACTGTCAGTTGATCCCCCAAAAATGACTGACAATCTGTTGTTAACCGGGGCAAGAAAGTGTTTTAGTAAACGAACCATTGCCAGTTAAAACATTAAACAACAAAAATAAAGATCAAATTGCAACTTTTGATTTGGAATTATCTGAACATTTTGTTCCCCTTATGTCGTTCCTTAAAATCGTCACCTCCGCTCCCAGACACACACCTAGTTTTCTAGTCCTTGCGTCGTCCGGACAATTCATAACTCAAAATCCGGTATCGCATAAGCTGCGGTCTTGTTTACGTCATATTGTAACTGGACGAGACAAAAAGCACGCACGCGTTTCGTCTACAGGGCAATGGGATCATCAAGACGAGGTGGAAATGTGTCGAATAAGGGTGAGGTGGTGCAGGCACAATCACACCTCGTCTGGACTGGAATGAATAGCAAGCCGAGGAGTAGCTGCAGGACGTCACGTAGCAAAATCCCAAGGCTTAATTTGTATTTCTCTATCGCTGAAAATTACTGTTAGCGAGTCTTCTTAGCAATTAGTTTTTTTTTTTTTTGTCAGTTTCAATAGTTAAACATTTTCGTCTGTTTTGTTAACTTTAGTTCTATTTATCAACCTACATTCAGTCAAAGCATTTTGTTATTCTTTTTGTCGGCATTTCATTTAGTCTTTTTTATTAGACTTATTTTCTCTCTGCTTTTCCCCCCCGGTTTGTGATTTTTTTTTTGTCGATCTGCTTTTGTTCCAAGTTTGTTATTTTTTTTGTCTACTTGTTATTTTTCTGCTTTTGTTCCGCATTTGTCATTTTTTTGTCTGACTGTCGACTTTCGTTCTGCGTCTGTTATTTTTTGTCTGTCTACTTTTCTTCTCTGTTAATTTTATTGACTGACGGTCTACTTTCGTTCGACGTTTGTTTTGTTTTTTTTTGCCTGAGTGTCTACCTTCGTTCGATGTTTGTCATTCTTTCTGAATGTCTGCTTTTGGTCCGCTTTTCTTGCTTTTTTTTTTTTCGTCTGACTGTCTACTTTCGTTCGACATTTGTTAAATTTCTTTTCCACTTTTTTTTTTTCTGTCTGTCTACTTTTGTTCTAGTCTGTTATTTCTTGTCTGTCGACCTTTGTTTTCAGTTAATTTTATTGACTTCGAACTTTTCAATTTTTTTTTTTTGTTCTAATGAATTCGATGTTTGTTATTTTTTCTGCTTTTGTTCCACTTTTGTCATTTTTTTTGTCTGTCTACTTTTGTTCTCCGTTTGTTATTTTTTTTTTTTATCTGAGTGTCTACTTTCATTCGATGTTTGCCATTTTTTTCTGATTGTCTGCTTTTGGTCTGCGTTTCTTTTCTTTTTTTAATTGTCTGACATTTCTCCTCTTTGTTATTGTTCGATTGTCTACTTTTGCTCTCTGTCTGATTGTCTGTTTTTGTCCCCTCTTTGTTATTGTTCGATTGTCTACTTTTCTTATCTGTTTGTTCTTGTCTGAGTGTCTGTTTTTGTCCCCTCTTTGTTCCTGTTTCATTGTCTGTTTTTGTCCCCTGTTTGTTATTGTTCGATTGTCTACTTGGCTTATCTGTTTGTTCTTGCTGATTGTCTGTTTTTGTCCCCTCTTTTTTATTGTTCGATTGTCTACTTTTCTTATCTGTTTGTTCTTGTCTGACTCTAAAATACTAAAATAATTTTTTTTTTTCTGAAACCCCTTTTTTTTTGCCATGTGCTACAATTAATACAATAAATATACCAAGGAGATGCCACCCATGGTAGCAGGTAAATCATTTGAAATTCTGCACTGAACAGAATGGATCAAGGTGAACATCTTGTTAGTTTAAACCTTTTTTTTAACATTTGGGAAAGTAAAACAAACAAAAACCTAAACTGCTACGTTTTAAAAAAATAAACATTTTAATGATGGAATTAAAACAAATAAAACAAATAAATATTTTACAAGATAATCTTGCAGAAAAACTTTCTTTTGTACTGCAAAAATACTGAATGAAAATTTCAATAAAATAAAATACTGAAACAAAAATACTTAAAAAAAAGAATTAAACAAAATGAAAAATGCAGAAAAAAAAAAAAAAACTGAAAAGGAAATGCAAATTTTGGATAATGCAAAAAATTAAATATAACTGGAAAAACCTTGATAAAATGAAAAAAGAATGTTATTGGTCCTGAATGGCATCTCAAATATTTTCCTTGACTGCTGACTTTAAATACTGAACAAAAATACTGAATGAGGATC